GGATGCATAATAAATAAATCTGACGTAGAAGATGGATGAGAATTTCACAAGGGAAAGTGGATACTACAAACCAAGAATGACAGAATGAGCAAAACCAAGAAAGAACCAAAACACAGGAAGTATTTTCAACCCATGTGGCAAATGTAGAGGTAACAATTTCTGGTGCACGTGCTACTATTCTTCTATCTTCATGCCATGACAGATATCACTCATCAATTAAAGTATATTTAATGCCTACAATAAGACTCCCAAAAAATAACAGGTTAATCCAAAATGATGGAATAAATGATGGAATACTAATACATGAAATTTATGTAGCTCTGCTGAGCCTCGGAATAGAAAGTGGCAAGTCCTAAGTCTGGAGGTTTTAATTCACTTAAATGAAAAGTTTAATTTTATTGTCCTTAATTTGGACAACTATGAATGGCTATTCAGTTTATATTTTATCCTACAAGCAATAGACCAAAGTTTTATCGAGGTCAAGGAGAGGATAGTACATAGTGCTGCGTATGTAAGATGCCCTGGTTATTCCACAGTCTTACAGCACTACAGGAGCAACCCTTGAGCACCATGCTAGGGTTAGCTGCCCCTGGGTACCGCTAGCTAAAGCAAGAAACAATGGATTTTGTGAAAAATACTGGTAACACCAACACTACAGATATGTGGACAACGCATTTAAACAGAATAAAGGCATGAACAGTAGTTTAATGTTACTGCACATAGTATCAGCAAGATATAGAAACGCCTAAATTTAAGTGGTGACAAAAATCAACTGCGGATTCTAAAACAAAAACGAAGTGTTGAAGCCAGATGTAGTATTAGAGGGTATGGCGCTGCCTTGAATATGGTCAATTCTGGTTTAGTCCCCGGCACCACCATAGTGCCTCGAGCACCACTCTTGAATGATCTCTGATTGCAGAGCCAAAAGGAAGTCCTGGACACAAACAGGTGTGGCACCCCCCAACATTTTTTAAAATTTTTTAAAAAATAAGAGTTTGGGGTTTTGTTATCTGTGATTTTAAAATGAGTTCAAGAAAAAATTGACAATGATACTCATGATTACTCAAGACTATAAATTCAGAAATAGATATTTCAGGTTTAGCATAGAATGAAAACGTCCTCATGACCAGACTAATACTCAGCAAGTCTTTTCTTCCTGTCAGGGCACTAATACTCTAGCCAGACAACAAATGCTACTCACCTTACATGCCCCTACAATGGAGCTTCAGACTTACACTCAGTGAGCTCTAGAAGGCACAAGTCAAATTTAAACCCAAAGTTCAGTATCATACATGAGTTCCTCTTTATCTAAACACATGAAACTGTGTGATTTTTTAAGAGGCATAATTTGTATGAAATAAATCTGGAAATAATACTGTTCTACCGTAAGCAAATGTAAGCTCTAAAATCATACTCTTAAGAGTTAACTGCAGCACTTTAAGCAGTATGCAAAAATAAATAAATAAATAAAGCAACTCTCCTATCACTTCTGCAAGGTGTTGAATAAATGAAATTATTCTAATTAAAAATAAACAGCTCAGGGGGGTATGGTTCCGCCAGCAGGTCAATCTGTACCTGTGAGGCGAGTGCATCAGCAGCCTGATGGCACCGTCAGTCATTCAGATACCCCAAAATTGCTGCTGTGCCTTTGGCCAGACCCCAAAAGCTTGGGGCAAAGTTTACCAAGAAAGTAAATGGCCAAAAGTTAGGTATATGGGAGATACAACCACAAACCACCTCCGGCTCAGCTATATAATTGGAGGCATTGCCTCTCTGATTCCTGATAGAATTGCTTAACAGCCATGATCCCAAGACTCAGAAATGAATCTCGGAACCCAAAGGCAGAAATGCATCCTGCTCCTGCAGTAGGTTACTGGTGCTGGGCCACTCCAGGTGGGAACAGATTTCGTGCCTTGCCTGTTCCCCCTAGCGGCCCGGTGACCACCATCCTCAGAGGCCATTGGACAGTCAGGTTTGGGCCTGCAGTGACAAGACACACGAGGCCTCACCAGATGGGGGTGGAACCGGCCCCTTCCTCCCCATCCCAGTGAGACCCCAAGTCGTGGCCTACAAATGGCCTCTCTGGCTCCTGATCAAGCTGCTTAATGGCCATGATCCTAGAGACTCGGAAACAAATCTCGAAACCCAGAGGCTTTTGGCAGAAATGCATCTGGACCGCATATAAGGTGGTCGCCACCTCAGAGCTTATTGGAAAGCCAGGTATGAGCTGGCAGTGACGGGGCAACTGCAGTCTCATGGGAAGGGGGACGGTACCGGATCATCCTTCACACCCTACCGAGGTCACGAGTTGTCCCCCACGAGCAGCTCTCCAGCACAACCATGGCTCCAGAGGCAAAAGGATTTAATCCAGAGCCCAGCAGCTTGTGGCAGAAAAGTGAATGTACCATGCATTAAACTACAGCACCATGCCTCCCCAGGAGGGAAAAGTTGTTGCTCCCTTACGCCTTTTTCCAGCCCGGCAGCAAGGTGGCCGCTGCCTCAGAGCTTATTGGAAAGCCAGGTATGAGCCAGCAGTGACAGGGCAACTGCAGTCTCATGGGAAGGGGGGCTGTACCAGCTTATCCTTCATGCCCTACCAAGGTCACGAGTTGCCCCCACGAGCGGCTCTCCAGCACAGCCATGACACCAGATGCACAGAAACCAATCTCCTAATTATCTGGCTCTTTGCAGAAATCCAAAATCACGAGGCCACTATTGAGGCCACACGAGATTATATGATTCTCATAACCAGCTATAGGAAACAAAGTATTTCACAATGCCTCTTCAGCAATTCTGATTGTTGGGGGGAAATTCTAAACAATAATGGTGCATCTTTTGTCAAACAATGAATGTAATCAATGTAGAGAAGAGTTAAGTGGAAATCATCTGCCTCACAGGCATTAGGAGGGGTGGGAGGGGGGTATATTGGGGTTCTTGGTGGTGAAAAATGAGTACTGGTGGAGAGGTGTTTGATCATTGTATGACCGAGACTTAAACCTGAAAGCTTAGTAACTTTTCCCACAGTGATTCAATAAATATAAGAAAAACAATAAATAAATAAAATTATGGGAAAATAAAAAAGGTGGAGTTCATGCCCAATTCAATCAGCTAATCAGCGGCTGAATAAATAGCAGTACTCCTACATAAAAATAAATAAATAAATAAATCAACAGCTCAGGCCAGAAAGGTAGTACAGAAGTTAAGGCGCTTGGCTTGCAAACGGCAGACCCGGGTTCAATCCTCTTCAATCCCCTTCATATTCCCAGCATGGTCCCTCAAGCACCAGTAATGATCCCCTGAGCACAGAGCCAGGATAAAGCCCTGAGCACTGTTGTAATCCCAAAACCAAAAATAATGAAATAAATAATATTTAAATTACAATTTCGCTGTAGTTCAAAAAGGCCAAAGATGGTCAAGCTTTTCTATTTTGGAAAAAGAGATTTGTTGGCTGTTGCAAACAGAAGCTAGTTATGTGAAATACAAATGCCCTATGTTAATAAGCATGCTAGAAAAGTTGTTTTCAGCCATTAGGATTTTCACACTAAGAATAAAACTATACCACAGTGAATGCCAACAATGTACTTTAAGCTACAAAGATGCATATTCAACAGTTCTACTATATTCTGATCCCAATTCTTTTGTGTTCCCATAACAAACTCTCAAAAGTGGGATTCTTTTCCTCTTAAAGCTATTATGAGCTCTGGAGATAAAACTGATTTGATGGGGCTGGAGTGATAGCACAGCGGGTAGGACGTTTGCCTTGCACACTGCCAACCATGGTTCGATTCCCAGCATTCCTGAGCACGGCCAGGAGTAAGTCCTGAGTGAAGAGCCAGGAGTAACTCCTGTGCACCACCGGGTGTGACCCAAAAAGCAAAAAATAAATAAACTGATTTGATGGATACTGTTTATTCTAAAAAATCAATCAGATAAACAATGATAATCTCTCATCATCTATCTCTTTTCCAGAAAAATAGATTGGTTAATCATAAGCAGGGCCTACTTCTCATGATGTCATTCCCAAACCATTACAAAATGTTACACATGTTATGCTTCCTTCAAATCAATCACAGAACAAGTCATCCTAAAACTGAGGTCAAATTCCATTCCAACTAAAAGATCTGCTAACTTGAAGTAATGGTCCACTTACTAAGTAATATTTGTAGACTAAATTCCAGAAAATCCCTCCTGCTGTACCTCCACTACTTAAAAAAAAAAAAAAGTCTTACCCTTTTAGCTCATTGTAAAAGAATGTGACCTGCAGTTAAGGGCTTTTCCATTCCTCATGTAGTACTTGGAGAAAATGATGCATTCATTTTCTCTTAAAAGAATACTATATTTTTGAAAGACAAAATGCAACATATGGATCAGGGTTATAGTAGGTGATAAGTGCATGCTTTGCTATTTTTTTTGTTTGTTGGCATTTATGAGACCCTGGGTTTGATATCTGATATACATTAGAGAAGTCGTATGTTAGTGTTCAACTGTGTATCTATAGAACAAAAGGTAAATTGGTTTACTAGTTTTCTCATGTAAGAAAGGTTCTATTAAATCTAAAAACTATGGGAGAAAGAATCTACTTAAACAACAATTAGATCTTTTCTTTAGCTTTGAAAAACTGATCAGACATGTGAAAGATTTTGTACTGAGAAAGGTCAAATCTATACTATTCAAATCTTCTCACACAAAATAACTATGAATACCCTTTCATGACAAATCATCATTTTTTTCTTGACATACTTCGGTCATTTAAATTACACTTCTAAGTACCTAATCTTAGAAGAATAGAGAAATATTCCAGAAATGTACTTCAAAGTCTAAAATTAACCACAACTATCTAAGGATCAGTTTCTTACTCTTAAAAAAAGAAAGTATTTGACTAGATGATCTACATAGCTATTATGACACTTTAGCCCATGTTTTAAAATAAACAAATTCTATTATTTAATTCAGACATAACCTTTTCCAAGATCACCCTCTCAAGGATATATTTTACTTACATTCTTCCTACACCTTCATACATGTTAGTTTCATCTACCAAAGTCATAATTTCTGTATCTGTGAGATGTGCATGCTTTTTCGTTCTGTTTAGTTGTTCAATCTGTATGTCTGCAAGCTTCACCTTCTGCTGAGTGTCAATAACTTTGGCTTGAAGCTCTGTGAAGGCCTAATAAAAACAAGTCTCTGATTTAGTAATTAAGACATTTTACAGAAAACATTTAAGTCCATCTAAATATATTAAAACAAAGCATGCTATCCTGAGACAGAAAGGTGAACAGTATGAAAGCAAACATCAATAAGACAATGATTATAAACATCAGGGCACTGTGCTAAATATTAAACTTGCACTATTCTCAGAAGATGCAATCTATTTGAAGCAGAACAAATGCACATTAAATAATAACCATATCAAGTTGCATGCACCCAAAGAGCAATAAAAGCAATAAATGCCAGAAGTCAGGAGATGTGATCCAAGACAAGAACCATAAATGTAACAACTTGCTAGATTTATTTTACATGATTAGGTTTCAAAGCACTTTCCTACATTTGCCTAAAATACTAGCAAGGGACTACTAATATGTGAATACTGAGAAAAATATATCTTATTCCTCTTAATATTGTTAGGGATGGCAGTTAAATCATCAGTTTATAAACTAAGATGTAAAGCGACTTGCAGAGATCATGCCATTAGGTGGGAAGTCAGGTACTTCAATCTATCTCTCTGAACCCTAGCTCAGGAGGTTTTCTAGTCTACTATCTACAGTTACATTCAGAACATGACTATTTTTAAGACAAAAAAAAACTATTCATAGCACTGATAAACTTTCATATGCTCATCAAATGCACATACCAAGCCAAATTTTATGTCTGTGTGCATTTCCTTAAACATAAATCTTGGTTACTCTTGTTTAAGGGATCAAATGACTTTCATATTTATGCTGTCAATTTCTTTTGTTCAGGGGCCACACCAAGCAATACTCAGGGATCACTCCTAGACAGCTCAGGAGACCATATATGGTGCCAAGGATCAAACTTGGTTCAGCTGCTTGCAAGCCAAAAGCCCTATCTGCTGTACTAGTATTCCAGCCTCTGTTTTCTAATAATGCCCTAATAACTCCTGAAACTTCAGAATATGGTAAAAGCTAGTAAACTTTTATTCTTTGTTCTCACCTACTAGTAAGGTTTCAAAGATATACTATGTGGAAAGGAAGGTGTCTGAAATTTTCTATTAGACTCTACCAAAAAGAGCCTGATCTTCCTTTTCTCTCTTTTGGTTTATGGGGCCACACTTAACAGTGCTCAGGACTCTTGACCCTGTACTTAGGGATCACTCCTGTGGGCCTTAGGAGACCATGCATTGCCACAATTCAATACAGATGGGCCACGGGCATGGAAAGGGCCCTAACCTCTGCACTATCTCTCCAAGCCCTTATTTTTTTTTCTTTTTATCTTGTTCTGTTTGGGGGGCACACCTGGCAATGCTGGCTGTGCACTCAGGAATCACTTCTGGCAGTGCTCAGGAAACCATATAGAATACCAGGGATCAACCTTGTGCAAAGCAAGCACCTTACTAGCTATCCTCTCTCTCCAGCCCCAGTCCTTATCTTTCATATTAGAAAATAAAACCTTGAAACACATATCTTTTTCATTTAATTTTATTACCAAAACTATCCAGTTTAAGCCTGTAATTGTCTTTAGTTTGCACTCATTGTCCACAGTGGTCTCTTAGCAACAAATTCAAGTAACACTCACAGCTGGACTCTATAAAGCTCATGCACTAACCTCTGACTTAATTTTTTTTTATGGGGGGGGGAGGGAAGGCTGTTTTATAAGCCAGATCTGGCTTTGTGCTCAGGAATCACTACTGGCTGTGTGGTTCCAGGGATCGAACCTCAGTCAGTCACATGTAAGGCAAGGGCCTTACCCCCATACTATCTTTCTGGCCCACATTTTATCTTTTAACAAAAAATAATAATCATAATAACAATCTTTCAGAAGGTTTCATTTGTAAAATAAATTTTGTTTTGCATGCTATCATCTAATTATTCTGTACGCCACCTGGGAAGGATGATACTGAAACAGTATACTGTTGAAGTTGAATTACTGCAGTGCTGAAAATACCAAATAGGAGTTAAATTTATAAGTTTGAAACAAAACACTAGGCACAAACACAAATTCTCAGAGCAATAACAAAGAGCTTCATTTATTATTCCTAGGCTGACCAAAAACGTAGTCTTTAGTAACATTTGCTCTTGCACAACAAAACCGTGTGTAGTGAAAAAGTGTGGAGGAGGGTAGGGCCCTTGCCTTGCCTGTGGCCAACCTGGGTTCATCCCCAGCATCCTATATAGTCCCAGGAGCCCCGCCAGGAGTGATTCCTGAGCACCATCAGGTGTGGCCCAAACCCAAAAACTGTGTTGGAAGGCACGGAACACTGGGTTCAAGTTCAGATCTTCAACTGAGTCTTTTCAGGAATGTTACCTTTTCTGGAAAAGTTTAGGTTTAAAGAAGATTAAAGTGTGGATCCTTCCTTTCCAATTCCCTCATGCAAAAAAGCCTGAGTTCTGTGGTCCACTAAAATTAGAATCCTTAAAATTCTAAAACGGCAGCAAATCGTTCCAGAAAAACAACACATGTATAAGCAACTGTTTGAATAAAGAGAAGCCCAATTCCTTCTCACGGAGATTTTGATTGGCAAACTTCTCTAAACTTGCTTCTTTTCTTTTGACAAATGCTTCAGAGGTGAGTTGAGGAGAGCGTGAGGCCTGAAAGGCACAGTGCAAGGTCGGTCCCAAATGCTGATACTGAGACCTTTCAAGATAGTGACCTGAAAACACACAATCGGGCTTGGGGAGAATTGGGGGGGGTGGGGGGGCGGGGGGCAGAGGGGCGGGGTTTCCAGAGCAAATGGAAGATGTAAAATTAGAGAAGCTTCAGCTCCAGCAGCTGAGCCATTCGGAAGGGCTCCAACTCGAAACGCTCATTTCAAACCTTCCTGTGGAAGAGAAGGCTCAGTGTCTGACGAAACAATCCTGGAGCTGGGCACGAGGAACAGGCAAGCTAACGGCCAACAAGACCTGACTCGGCCCAACCCCAAAAGCTCTTTTCCGCAACAGCCGCTCGCCCCGGACTCCAACCGGTCCGGGTCCCGCCTAAAGGGCCCCGGGAAATGATTCCCAGCTGCCTGGGGCCTCTTTCCTTGCGCGGGACTCGAGCCTCACTCGCTACTTTTGCTCACAGTCTCCTTAGCTGCCAAAGAGAAGCTTCAACCTGCTCAAGACCCTCTTTTACCTTCTTTAACTCCAGATCCACGGGGGCCGCCATCTTGGGTCAGTGTCTGCGCCTGCGCAATGGGAGGTCGGCACGTCGCGGGGCGGGGTCCTGGCGGTGTAACTGGCTCCCTTCCTTATGCGCCTGCGCCTGAGAGTAGCTCATTCCGATGACAGACGCAGTGGGTCTTTCCCCAAGACTGGTCTACCCTCTTCCTATTTCTCTACATCCTTCCAGACAGCAGTTCAGGTTGTATATTGTTAAACATTTTGACAAATAGTTTGCTATTTACTGCTAAAATTGAGATATACGCAAATCAGACCAGAACGTCATTCACTGAACCTTGCGACTACTCTCTGCGCCTTCTGGGATGAAAAAGAATCAAACTGAGCGTCAGGCATGCCTGTAGAAAGAAGAAAACAAAAAGCTTAGTTGAAGTCTTCCGAAGAATTCTACTGAATTCTTCTGACGACCTAGACACAATGGCTCTCAAGAACTCAAATAAGTTAGAAAAAATTAAAAATAAAGGGATTTAAAAAAATTTTTTTAAGGTGGGGTGTATGGTGGAGCAATAGTACAGAGGGTAGGGCTTTTGCCTTGCACGTGGCCGACCCAAGTTCAATCCCCAGCATCCCATATGGTCCCCGAATACCACTGCCAGGAGTAAATCCTGAATGCAGAGCCAAAGAGTACCCCGAATATCGCTGGGTGTGACCAAAAAAACAAAATATAAAGTAAATTAAAAAGATTTTGGGGTTCTCATCCGCAACTTACTTGGAGAATATTTCAGACTGGGGCACAGAAACTTGAATTTTTGCAGACTCACCTTCGCATCTGAAACATGCCACATTTTGAGGATCTGCTGTCAGATTTAGCATATGAACCAGAGCAACAAGTATTAATTGGACTTTTCAAAATGGAAAGGAAGAAAAAGTGGGTGTTTTACCTATTCTAAACATTTGTGAGGAAGAGGAGCAGGAAAGACAGTACAAGGGATAAGGCGCTTACCATTCATGTTACCATCACCTGTTGGATCCCCAGCCTGAGTGGGAGCAACAGGGCAGAGCTAGTAGCCCTAGAAAAGCATCTGAATGCCTGGGTGTTACCCAGACACAAACTGGGTAGCCCCAGCCTACCTCCCCCCCAAAAATATTTTTTTAATTTATGAGGGTATTGGGCACTCATAATACTCTCATTATTAGGATGGGGTCCAGTAAACTCGTGCACCAATATCATAAACTTCAACATTATTAAAACCATATTACCTGAACTATAGTAAAAATGACAACTGAGGGCCAGAGAGATAGTATATAGCGGTTAAGGTGCTTGCCTTTGCATGCAGCTGACTTGGGTTGATCTCTGGAATCCCAAGTGGTCCTTGAGCCCTGCCAGGAGTGATCCCAGGACACAGAGCCAGTGATCTATTAAAATAATAATAATAATAACAACAACAACAATAAACTCATGAGGAAAGAGAAAACACAGGAATTTGGAACCAGACAGATATGAATTTAAAGTTTGGTTAGCTTATTACGGGTCTGTCTGGTTCCATTTACTACTGATGTTGCAATAGCTTTTGTCTCCTCAATTTGTGAATAATCATGTTGACCTGTCAAGATTACATGCAAAATAAATGAGATCAGAATGAAAAGGCCCAAGTATAGTACAAAAGATCCTCAATAAATGGGTATTGTAGTTAAGTTGTTATACTTAGCAACGTGCTGTTTGTCTTTTAAAGTCTGTCAAATGGGCACCCTTTTCCATTCTCTCTTGTTCCATCTTTTGCACTACATCACACAAGCCAAGTCTCTCCAGTGGATAGGGTGTTTACTGGGACTCAGTCCTGAGCATTTCATATCGTCCCCTGAGACAACTAGGAGTGATTTCTAGTACATAGCCAAGAGTAACCCCTGAGGATTGCTAGGTGCATACCTTCCAGACAACAAAAGATTCTTCTCTTAACTCCCTCCTGAAGATTTTATCTGTCCCTTTTCTGATGCACATAATTTCTTATTTTTGCTTTTGTTTTGGGGCCACATCTGGAAGGGTTCAGAGGTAATTCCTCACTTTGTACTAACAGCAATAACTCCTGGGCTCAAGGGACCATATAGGATGCCAGAAATCAAATAGGTCAGCTGCATGCAAGGCAAGTGTCCTACCCACCATACTACCGCTCTAGCCCTCTTTAATATTTTTTATTAGACACTAAATTCTTGGAAATGCAGAAATCACGATCACGATGATCACGACCATCCTATTGTTCGTCGATCGCCTCGAGCAGGCCCCAGTAACATCTCCTTTGTCCTAGCCCTGAGATTTTTTTTAAAAGAGCAATTTATTTCTGTATTTTTATTTATTTTTATTTTTTTAATAATTTACTTATTTATTGAATCACTGTGGGAAAAGTTACAAAGCCTTCAGGTCCAGGTCTCAGTCATGCAAATATCAAACACCTTTCCCTTTACCAATACTAATCTTTTACCACGAAGAACCCCAATAAAACCCCACCCCCCACCCCTCCCAATGCCTGCGAGGCAGATGAATTCTAGTTAACACTCTATCTGCTTTGATTAGATTCATTGTTTCAATAAAAGATGCACCACTATTATTTAGAGTTTACCCCCCCCCCATCAGACATGCTGAAAAAGCATTGTGAAGTGATTCGCTTTCTGTAGCTGGGTTCAAGAATTAAATGTTGGATTTCCGCTATTTTACTAATTAACCCTGTAAGTATTTCTACCGAGAGTCAGATAATCAAGAGATTGGTTTCTGTGCTCTGGAGTCGTGGCCGTGCTGGAGAGCCGCTCGTGGGGGGCAACTGGTGGCCTCGGTAGGGCGTGAAGGACGGACCGGAACGCCCCCCTTCCCATGAGGTTTTAGTCGCCCCCACACCCCCGGTTCATACCTGCTCTCCACAAGACACCCATGCGGCCGCCATCTTTCTTTCCAGAGAGGAGAGGGCGAATGGGGCAACACCCTTTCCCCTCAGAGCAGACATAATGGCCTGGATTAACGCATAGTCCGTTCATTTTTCTGCTCCAAGCTGCTGGCCCTGAGATTTTTTAAAGAGTGCTGTATTCAAGGCTCTTTCAGGGTTAGGAGAATGAGACCCATCATTGTTACTGGTATTTGGCATATTGGATATGCCACAGGGAGTTTGCCAGACTCTGCCATGTAGGCAGGTTACATTCGGTAGCCTTAGGTTCAGTGGAAATGTAGAAATATAGAATAATTATGGTTCTCTGACACTTTAGACACAGAACACCTATTTTAATGCTTTCACAGGGAAAGAAATCAACATAAACATTCAATGAGAAAAAACTTTTCAAGACTATTTATCATACTTTTAATTCAAGAAAGAAAAAAGCAGGTTTTTTTTTTTGGCAACTTTAGATTCTCTAGAACTTTCTAAAAACTTAATTATAATAAATAATAGCTAGACTTAACATAATATGTTAATTCAGTAACATAAATTTAATACCAAAATTCCAAAGAAATTCTCCTTACACAGATATAAGTGACATAAGTATTAAGAATGTGGACCAAGATATAAGACATCCTGCATTACTTACAAGTATATGACTTTAAATAGAATCTTCTCTTGTTTTTTTTTTTGTTTGGGAGTGACACACCCAGCACTGCTCAGGCTTTTCTCCTGGCTCTGTGCTTAGGAATCAGGAGTCCATATGTAGTTCAGAGGAATCAAACCAGGTCAGCTGCATGTAAAGAATGTACTTATCCCACTGTACTATCTCTCTCGGCCTCTCTCAATTTTTTTTTTTTTTGGTCATGGCTCCATTTGTGTCTTTCTCCTGAATTCCCTTCATCATTAAGTTAATCAGTAGATTCTTTCATTTTTGTGATGTTCAAAGAAGCATCTTTGAAAAGTAAACTCTCTTAATACTTGTGTAGAACTGTAGACTCCTGCTGCATGTATGGAACTGTAGATTCTACATCCTCTAAAACCATTAAATTTTTAGGAGAAAACACTGCACAAAATTTTCATGATATAGCTTTTAAAAATGATTTTATGACAGTCTGGAGCAATAGTACAGTGGGTAAGGCATTTCACTTTAGTGCGACTAACTCAGATTCAATCCCCAGTATCCCATATAGTTCCCCAAGTACCACCAGGTATAATTGCTGAGTGCAGAGAAGGAGTAATCCCTGAGCATCGCTGGGTGTGGCCCAAAAGCAAAACAAAACTAAAATAGTACATTGGCTAGATATGGAGAAATTGGAACTGTTGTTCAATATTAATGGGATATAATGCCAAAACTGTGAAAAAATAGCATGATAGTTCCTTTAAAAATTAACAAAATTGGGGCTGGAGCGAAAGCACAGCAGATAGGGCATTTGCCTTGCACGCGGCAGACCCAGATTCGAATCCCAGCATCCCATATGGTCCCCTGAGCACTGCCAGGAGTAATTCCTGAGTGCAGAGCCAGGAGTAACCCCTGGACATCGCCAGGAGTGACCCAAAAATCAAAAAAAATTACTATATGATCTTTATCACCTAGAAATTCCATTTATAAATGTGTACTTTAAAGAACTGAAACTAGAGATTAAAAGATAGTACAAGGTACCCCGTATTGTCCCCTAAACATCACCAGGAGTGAGCCCTGAGCACAGATTCAAGAGTAACCTCTGTGGAACATAAAGTAACAAAATACGAGGCTAACACCCAAGAGTGGCCGAGATTAGTACCAGGAATTTTGCTCCATGGCTTGGAGGCCAGCCACACATGCTAGGGGGAAAGGGAGCTCAGATATAGAAGGGAGCACCAAATAAAGGATGTTGGGAGGATCCTCCCAGGATGGGAGAAGCATGCTGAAAGTAGACTATAGACCAAACATGATTGCCACTCAATGCCTCTTTTGCAAACCACGATACCCAAAAGGAGAGAGAGAACAAAAGGGAATGCCCTGCCACAGAGGCAGGGTGGGATGGGGAGGATGGGGGGTAGGAGGGATACTGGGACCTGTGGTGGTAGAAAATGGGCACTGGTGGAGAGATGGGTACTTGATCATTGTATAACAAACCCAAGCACAAAAATTTATAAGTCTACAACTGTACCTCATGGTGTTTCACTAATGAAAATTTAATAAATAAATAAATAAATAA